CAGGAAATATTTAGAAAAATTGAAATTACTTTTCAAAAATGTTAGTTATTCAATTTTGTTAGACATAACAGTATCAATTATATAACAATGCTGGAGAAGAACCTTCAGTTAAATTAGATACTCAAATACTATGAAATTCAAAAAGTATATGGATTGTATATGATTCGAAGTCCTTTCAATTACTTAATTAACTTACAGATAGTCTGTTTTGGACAAGCTAGATATTTTTTTCCAGATATAGTTCCCTGACCAATCTTATGAAGGGTAGACGAGTAGGTTGTCATTAAGTTATGTAAAAATTAAATAGATTAATAAAAGGAATTACGTTACGCTTCTTATACATCAATCCAGAGACGTATATATTACATTACGTAATATATACGTCTTTGATCATCCGAAAGCAAAATACTAATCGACATGAAAACTTGATTCGACTCCCAGAGATACTGTATACACATATATTTTATTCAACTCGTTGGCCAACTTAAGTAAATGTGATCTCTATAGGTACATGGTAGATAATAATTTTATAATGCAATGAACGTTATAAACGTATTGACGTACATGAACATTCTACGGTGGTTTTTTTTAGTTATAACAACTATCGATATAATATGTATAAATATAGATTTGTTCCAATATATACTAAAGATACATGGTCGTGAAAAGTAAATCTACTCTTACTAAATTCTCGTCGAATTTATTTAAACAAATTTAAGATTTTAAAAACATCAAGTTATATGAATGCATAACCACGGACTTTATCTAATTCCGTGTACAATATCTAATTTTAAACATAGACTTAGTCCCGTGCAATTTAATAGATTCTTGATATATGAAATCCATTTAAAATAAGCGAAATCATTTTTATGTAAATTCAGCATAAGCTTGTACATTATACTAGACAATTTATTTTCACATGTAACTAGTTTATACCAAAACATTATCATTCTAGATTTAATTTCAATATTCAGCGAGTACCTACCCGTTTCACCATATACCATTATATTTGCTGTGGAGCTACGTATGTTTAAAATTCTTTTACCAAACTGTACATGTAATTTCTCAATCATATTGGTATTTTCAAACCCCAAAATTTCTGAGGAGTACAAACGGATTGTGGATATTAATACATCAAACAATTTTAATTGTAGGTCAATTGGTAAAATAATATTTCTTATTATTTTTTTTATATAATGCATACATTGCGTTTTGAGCCTGTTCAACAAGTTTTTTTCTTGCTCTACAGAAACTGCCATTATAATGAAACAGCAGTCCTAGAAACGAGTATCTGTCATGTGTTTGCAACTCTTCACACCAAAAAGAGTAAAACGAACATTTTGTGCAATTACTTTTTTCAAAGATAACAACTATCGTTTTATTGAGATTAACTTTAAGTTTCCAAATAGTACAGTAAGTTATGTGTTATGACATCGCAATAACAATGTCATATATATAAATGAGAAAATAACCCATATACATATTTATTATATATGTAATATATAATTCTCTGAACAACCCTTTTTTTATAGAATAAAACGAGAGACATAAATTAAACCCTCGGCCTGGCAATTTATAGATAGAGATATATATATACTTAGTCCGATCCTGCCCCGTTTCTGTCCGTTCCTGTAAATCGTCGACCGTTCTTGCCCGATCCATATCAATACAATACGTTTTTTTTTAAATTCGTTGCAATCCTTTTATCAAATGACGTATCTTGTACCCGACAAAAAAAGATATAATAATATAAATATAAATATATATATAATTTAGTCCGATTCTGCCCCGAAGGCGATCATGTAATTGCAATCCTTTTATCAAATATATCTGATACCCGATAATGATACTTAAATGTATCTAATATATATATTTATTAATGTATAGGCATATATAATAATTAATAGATTTCTGCCCGTTCCTGTAAATCGTCTAACCCCTAGTCACGCCATTTCGGTGATGTTTTCCGCATCAAATCGCATATTTCCAGATAGAATGTGACATATAGAAGTAAATAACTGTGACATTTCACAGTAATAAAGAAGTATTCGGTTCATAACTGGGTCGTATGGGGTAGTATTGGGTGGTATGGGCACGGGCTTATATCTAATCTAATTCCGTGGTATGGGGTAGTATTGGGTCATAGTCACGGCAATCCGGTGATGTTTTCGGCACCAAATCGCATATTTCCCGATAAAATATGGCAGATGGATGTAAATAACGTCTACAAAGGTGATATTTCACAGTAATAAAGAAGTATTTGGTTCATAACTGGATCGTATGGGGTAGTATTGATTAGAATTGGGGTGGTATTGTGTAGTATTGGGTCATAGTCACGGCAATTCGGTGATGTTTTCGGCACCAAATCGCATATGTCCCGATAAAATATGACAGATGGAAGTAAATAACGTCTACAAAGGTGATATTTCACAGTAATAAAGAAGTATTTGGTTCATAACTGGATCGTATGGGGTAGTATTGATTAGAATTGGGTGGTATTGGGTAGTATTGGGTGGTATTGAGTAGTATTGGGTAATTAGAGGCGCCCGTTAAATCTGCAAACAATGTTGAAAATAGGAGTATTTTGTCATTACAAGATAAGGGGTAGAGGTAATTAAATTGCTTTTTTGAGTCAAAAGAATAAGTTAAAGACAGTTAGCTTCCATAATATAGAAGAAAATATGTGTTGTCAATTCTGCAAACATTCATACATATCTGATAACACACAAGAAAGAAAGCGTATGAATATTTACCTGCAAATGGTAAAAACCGCAATATTCACTTAAAATCTCATATTATGTCAAATTGGTATCATTGACCAATCATAGCAAAAAAAAACCGACATGTGATTAGGTTAGCATTTTCTGCCATTCCCTTTTTCCAAAAATGCATAAAAGAAAAAAATATTTTAATCCATTTTTTCTCTTCTCAGAGGTGTTCATTCTCAAATAGCAATGATTCTAGTACTTTTTATGACGTCGCATTAATAATAACAAAGTACACATTTCAATCATTGTTCAACTAGGTGCTTACTCACTAAACGTCATAGTTTTATTGCTATATAAATATGTAGACAATCAGAACAACACCCAAAGTCTTTGTGGTGAATAAATATAAAAAAATAAATGAAAAGATATTCTTAGTACCTCCCGAAATGATAACTACGGGAAACATCACGTCTTAATCATGCCAACATTGACAATTTTGGAGGTTTATGAGGATGTTTGACAGCATCATTGCGTAATATAAGCTGTATGAATATATTTTCAGTGACTCGCGTATGTGTCATTATTTTTTATCATTATTTGTAGTACATGAAGGAGTGTTGTTGGTTTGTTGTTGTTGTTGTTGGTTTATTTTCTGGGTTTTTTCAAAGTTCTTTATTTTATCATTCCCTTGTCTTTCAAAACTCTGCATTACCTTATTGAAATCAGAGAAAGTATATGTATCATACATGGTATTATTTTAACAAACACACTTGCACTCACTGATATTTGTACAAATAATGAAAAAATGGGTTTTCTTATTTTTTAACTTTTTTTTTTGAGCGAGTAAAATATGAGTATTTCTCAGCACTACATATATATAGATTTGCCATCATACAATGTGCTAATTGAAGGTGTTGCCATTGTTGTTTACATGGACGTCTACACTCCATCACAGTGCTTTAAAGTCAGTGATGCAGAAAGAGTCGTTAATAATCGCTTGGAAGATCGTTTTCACGCAAAATATAGTCCCTCCTTTATGATAAATAGATGTTAACACACCGAATCACATTTTGCCAAAAGGTTCGTCACCTGAATGTGATACATGTAGTTATGATGATACACATGGAAAAGTTATCAGTCGAGTACGAATAGCGTGCAAATAATTAAGTCTTACCTGCCTAAGGTCGTTTTGATGACTAAGGAATCGCTGCTGTTTAATCCGATTTCATTATTACAGATGGATCATTGAGCACATTATCATTGGCATCTGTAGAATCGTGTTATATGGTCACTGAGCATAATGAACCTTTCCGCCGCATCTCTGTAAATATGAAGTGTCAGGCACCATATCGTGATACATTTATTGATTGAGGTTAGTGACCCTGTTCATCGTGTATGTCACATTGGCTATGGAAATATCCTGATAAACGTAACATTTCAGGAGTAACTGTGTTACACCCTATTTTACTGTGTTGGTTTCAAGGCATTATAGATGTTCCACAAATAACCAGACATTTGGAAAAATAACCCATAGAAATATTTTTCTTTACAGTATACATCCCGTTCAGTGGCAGATGTGTTAATAGTGTATGAGACTTTTCACAGCGGCGATGCTGTACGAATCAGGGGCGTTTCCAATGCTTAGCTAGAGACAAGGAGGTATGGTCGTCACCATATTGTAGGTGTAGTGTGCGATGAACTAATATTCTGTTGGTGTATTTTCCCCAGCGTACACCTATTGCAACATGCTGTTGATTAGAGACGTCGTGATGTTATTTGTGAGGTTGGCGTTCCATATGTTGTGTTATCGTATGTGACCATTGTTATTGATACAGGTGTAAATGATGTTCACGCAGACACGGACATATTTACTTTTACATTATTATTGATATATATTTGCGGACTTTTGTTACATTCGCAAATATCTACCTGAACCTGACACTTTCTTATAACGTGACGTATCTACTTGCTAATGTTATCGTCTTTTCTAATTTTGGCATGTTGGAAGTCTTTATGGCATGGCATGGCTCGCCTTGTGAAAACGTCAGTAATCCTAGTGACAGCAGTGCTAGCGAATAGACTTCCAACCACAGTAGTATAATGTTAGCTGAAACGGTTTGTGTAGTAACGAGATGTATTGCTGTCTCTTTACTTAAACTCACCACTTTAACAAAACAATGTTTTCGGACACTACCAAGTGACAGCAGTGCCAGAGAATATACTTCCATCCATATTAATTAAATGTTAGCTGCAACGGATTACGTAGGTTAACGAAAAATACCACTGTCTCGTTACTTAATCAAAATGATATTTCCGAACACTACCCCTGAGTACCAGACGGATGAATTGCACCAGGAACGTTTACCAACGACTGCGTACATGGTTATCGGTTTAATGATGACGACTGTATCGGTTGCTGGAATCTTTCTTAACGGACTTATTGTTTACATTTTTTGGCGGCAGACCTCGCTAAATACACCAACAAACTATTTCATTTTGGCATTGTCCATTTTAGATTGCATGATGTCGTTATTCGGACTACCGATGATAGCCATATCGAGTTTTGGAGAAAGCTGGGTATTTGGCGATAAAGGTTGTGTGTATTACGGATTTATCATGACATTTCTAGGCTTGTCTGTCATCAGTATTCTAACTATCATATCTGTTGACCGTTATATCGTCATTGTTAAAACTCATTTGAAGCCGTTCATCAGCCGCCGAGTTGCTGTGGGAATGATTCTCGGCTGTATACTATATGCACTTACTTGGGCCGTTGCACCGTTGTTTGGATGGAGCAAATACGCACTGGAAGGTATGAACATCTCTTGTTCAGTCAATTGGAACAGTGACCAGCCAGCGGATGCTACCTTTAGTATAGCCATGCTACTGTTGTGTCTGGTTGTCCCCCTTGGATTTATCTGTTTCTGCTACGGACACATTTTTTACAAGGTAATAACAACATTGATCAATTGTTATATACATATTCATGTAACCCTTAAAGTCATATCTAAGTGAACTACCTTGTTTATCATGTAATACTCAACTGATTGCGGACAATACAATATGCACATAGCAAAAAAATAGATATTATCTACATTGTATGTATCGAACAAAATGATCATTCATGTGTAATCTTTACTCGAAAAAGTATATCGTCTGATATGAATAGTCCATGTAAAACTAAAATTGATAAGTCTTTTTTAGTTAACTGAACCTATTCTGATGATAAAAAAACGAAATAGCCAAATGCCAAACGTTCGTCAATTCCGGGCTAGATTAATGAAATATACATTTCTGTGTTGGTGTTTACCCTATTTCACCCTTTTAGTTCAGGTGGCTTTGAGTTCTGATTTCAATCATTTTAAATCGGTCAGAAATAGAAACAAAGTAGAACCCACAAACACTTTCTCTAGCTATTATTACTCGTTTTTAATACAAATATTAGGTTAGAGACTTATCACATTTAATCGGCGTTAGATAATAATGTCAGCCATTGATACTAATGTGATGGGTGATAGTTCTATTTAGATCTGAACGATTACATTCTGGGCCATGATTAACCTAACAAGCCGCCTACTCGACTTTTCAAACTGTGATATATTTTTAAAAATAACAACGTGCGCGATCTTGACGCGTCTGTTACATTTAAACCCCGATTAATTGCGTGACAACATTAAGCAAAATTATACCTTTTGGTTTTTGTTTCTGAATTTTAAATAAGCCCTTTTTGCCCATCAAATATTTAAAAAAAAAATGGTTTAGCACATTGCTTACACTTTGCAGCAATGCCTCAACCTTGTAATAACCTATTTTGTGTGGTGACCTAACATTGATAAAAATATCTTGCTCAACGCTGTTTTGGCTCCAAAAAAACATGCAAATATAGTTTAGCACATTGCTGCTAAATACATTAACCTTAAATTATTCGACATCCTTTTACTTTTTTGTGGTTCATCTATGTTGGCAGTATTTCAGTATATAAATATTTTACGTCTTATTGTGGAACTCCAACATTCGCGTATAATGCCTGACCTGGAGTTTTTTTTGGAAAAGGTTTAAGTCTTAAACAAGCTTAAAATTAAGTTATATTTAATATTTTCAATCCTGTTTTGACCCCACTGCATCAAGATTGAACACGTTGGAACACTCAGGTGCTACATGTATCAGCATTGTATTACACATATTTCGTGTAATTTTAGTTAATATTTACACTTTTGACCAAAACCTTAATCTGTAAATTTTGGGCAAAAAGGCACGGTTAAGTCCAACATAGGTGTTTTTTATTAATCTAAATATTTGTAATATTTTACTATGCTAATCTAAACCTGAACCAACGCAAAAGCCGGGGCAACTACATAAGCTCCTTTTCGAATATGCGAGCTAACACTTATTGAGATTTTTTGTGTCGTTTGTATTTAACACAGTAGCAGTTGTATCACTAAGTGTTATCTTTCAGCCATTTTGCATTTAAAGGGGTTATTACTGAACAATATCGGCGATGATATATCACAACTGTTAACGGTCGATGGTATACCTGAAGTACTAAACAACAGTTAAGTCTTCCGCTGATATGTTACTGCTAAAGAAAAAGACAGTGAAAGATAATGAAAATAAATACGCTTTCTCATAATACAATTTAACTGCAATATTTATTTATATTGCAAATAAGTGTCTACATTTGGTGCTTCGAGGCAGCAGAACCGGAAACGCTTATAACTTTTCAATTTTCGGCCTTTTTTGATCTGCGTATGTTTTAGACTGGCGCCTAGGGAGATACCTTAGAAAATAAAAATTATGGATTATTCAATTTACCCGAGTTCCACTGTAGTTACATGTATCACCCGACAACCAAAACTAAATGGACCTAAACAAAGGTTATTGAGTCAATTACTGTCAACATAACAGATTCAAACCGAAATAAACCGTATAATATCGCAGGAATAGATGTCTTAACTGTATGTTAACATTTTAGAGCGAAACACACTAAATCTTTTGTATTTTATAACAATACATGTGGCTGCTTATTTCAGGTTCATTATATAGTGTTTTCTATCGGGCGGACCACAGATTGACCACATAAGAGAGGTGGCTGCTTATTTCAGGTGACCGCTCAAGCAGGTTTGACCGTATGTCAACAAGTCATTATTGCCAATTCTTGTTTCATTATTTTCATGATTGCTTTTCTAGTATATAACAATGTACAAGTGATTTAGTCAACATCATCGTTATGTACTTGCATTATACCTCCATGTACATATTTACATATCGCATTTGTAATGAAGCCTTTCTTTCCTTACGGACACTAATAATCTACTTTCGACTTTGAAAAGTTCTTGCTCGTTCCGACCTTTTGTTTAGAGAAATAAGCATATCTTCTCAACGGTATTATTTCCGACAAGCGCCTAAAAGACAAGTTCGAAACGATTAGATTGTTTACAAACATCCGTCTTGATAGAATGACATGTTCGCACCTTTGTTCGAGAGGTATCGTGGTTGATATNGCGTACTGTGCCCGCAGACAAAATGTAGTCTATATAACCTGTTACCAGAAAACGCGTCAATCACCAGGTAACGGGTACATGTCTTGTATAGTTATTCAAGCAAGAGATGTTAAATTTCCACTCAAAGCGTAACAGACACAGGTAAGAACCTCTGGTGTTTTGATTACTGTGAAATCATCGATTAACTGTAAAAGGCGATCGACTCCATGACATTTACTACGCATGTGTACTACACGTGTAGTAATGTTCCTTACATTACAGCCACATTAATTGTAGTTTGACTGTCATCGTAATAATGCGTAACATGCATTGAGGAATTAGAAAATTATTAAATGTGTGTACGATGTGCCTTATTTCACCTGAGCTTTCGAAGTATTATTTATGTCGTAACACCGATTAACCGATCTTACCGTATCGTGCATATGTGTGCGTTTTATTGAACAACCGGGCCAACGAGTGTTAAATTTAACAGCTGTGAGCACTATTTCGGTATGATGTGTACTGTATGTGCGCACGGTAATTTTGGTGCGTTGAACGATCACACAATTGTTCTAGTGAACTGACAAAATTGAGTATACAGCGATACAAAAGTGCCAGTGTGTACAGCAAGACACTCAATTTGTTTTTAATTTTTTAATTTTACGATTGGGAAGTTATGATAAGTGAAGATTAACGAAAGAAAAATTCTATATTATATGCTGTTAATCATATCATTGGGTTGTACCTTATAAAATGGTGGAAACCTTTGTCAAATATGGTGATCAGTTGTTGGCAAAGGTATTGATTATCCAAACAGAGGACAAGAGATTCACAGATTGCAAGCTTACCAATGTCATAGCATTTAACTGGAACATAAAGCCGTGTTGTGTGTCATGGTACTGGCGCCAGAATAATGTGTTAGATTCCATAACATGACACTTGAAAGTGTGCCCACATTGTTCTCAATATAGGCAGAAAATCTCCCTGCTGGTTAGGGGAAAGATTATACCTGCAGTATACTAATACATGCCCTAAGAGCTGACTAATATGGGGCACCTGTTGAACGGTGGTTTTCTTATGATTCTTCTTTAAAGAGGACACTGAAGAAATGCATATTGATTTGCTGTTATCTCTGTCTGTTCTCTGGTTTTGGTGATGTCTCTCAGCATCCGTCCTCATTAGACCTTACAAATTGCGGGGACGATTAGAAAAAGAAACAAAAATAAACAAAACATCCCAACGTGATCTTAGGTGTAGCGGGGATGAAATTAGATACATCAACAACGAAGCCAAACAGGCCGTGACAGTTTAATAATTTACAACTATAATAATACAATAATGATATATAACATTTGATATAGCGCCCTATCTAGCTAGAATAAGCCACACGAAAGCGCTTCCCAGTACATAAATATACGATATATATAATCGATATTGGGGGATTAGCAGGACCTGCCTTATAAGGCGCTAAATACTAGTCCTATGCCAACTGGCTATTATCTCTGACACAAATCCTATGTGTGTATGCCTGTGTGTGTGCTGGAGATTAATGTGCAGACATGGTTAAGATAAACTTATGCTAAAACGTGTCATTTGATACCGTCACAGTCTCACTTTGGCTGTAATATCAATTTCATCTCTATTTTTTTCAAAAGCAAAACAACAATCTCAAAAAGTTCTCCGGGTATACATATTGACAGAACCTGGTTGATGACAAAAAGGATCCTCAGAAAATATCCGCATTTTTGCTTTTTGCGCCTGTGGAAAAAACTGAAATAAAAAAGTCACGAAGCATCAACAAAGAGATAAATGTACCGGACATCAGTTCAAATATGTTCCGGTTATTTTTCATCCTTCCGGAAATAACCGATGCAAACCGATGGCGTGTGACGTGTTTGTGACGTCATAGTATGATAATCTCTGAACGAAGTTGCATGCCTGTAGGCTGTTAGTTTCACATTTTATGTTATAGAATTTTTCACTCAGAATGTAAATTAATTTTTATCTAGATAAAAAAGTTATAAAACATGAAGATTGTTTTCACTTGGTTGAAACATAATTTCTTTGCTTCAAGGATACACTTCCGGTTTCCCCACTGGACGTCTACTTCCGGACGAAAAATATTAAAGGCAAAGTGTAGCAAGGGGAAGCAACTTTGTTTACGCACGCATGTGTTACCATTGAAGAGCTACGCTCTTATTAAATTCGGATAATAGATACGTAACCGATGTACCTTATTTCTCTCGAGCCTTCTGGATGTTTTCCCTATAACATCGACAACCGATCTGACCATATCGCACAAATACAATTGTATATGCGTTTTACCGCACATTTGGGCGATCGATTGTTAAATCGCCATATTGTGAGAACTCTTTGGGGACGATGTAATAAATTAGGTATAAAACGATGAAAAACTGCCTTTTTGTACAGCAAGATAATCAAAAATAGATGCTTTTTGAATCTTATAAT